TAGATCCTCGCTAAGTCCCCCTAATTGAGTACTGCAGTCCTTTTCAAGACACCAGCCGACTAAATTATACAAACTGTCGGGCCGCATTTTTGTAAACGATTAAGCAGTTCTCTACAGTGCCTTGTGTTTTTTTACTATGTGAGTGCCTAGAAATACATATTAAAACACCCACGTTTAATCTTATTTTCCGATGTGTGTAACCTCTTTTGGAAGTAGTAAAAGAGTACACCTTTCTAAGTGAGTACAGCTTGCCATTATACGGACAAAATCCTCTGGCATGTTACTGGTCCATTTGGTTAATTTCTACTTTTCAGCCGCTTCTGAAGCTTGGTAGAGGCTTTTGGAATGGTACAAAAACAAGAAAAATGCGTCAATTTGCGATCGTACATGTACGGTGTAACGAGCCGAGATATAGAGCGGCTGTACACTCCAGACTGACCCTGGCAGCATGGCCAGGGCTACTTTATTGACCTTAATCGAGACCAGATGCGGCAGATCTCGGTTTCTATTCCCAACACTGCCCTCCCCCTTCATAAAAAGAGTCGTCCTCGACTCCGGAATGGGCGGTATCCCACCGCTGCCACCATATGTAACGCGCCGAGATTTAGGGGTCTTCACACAGCGGATGTACACTCCAGACTGACCCTGGCTTTATTGATCTTAATCAAGACCAGATGCGGCACAAATATTATAATCTCGGTTTCTATTCCCAACACTGCCCCCCCCCCTCATAAAAGGAGTCGTCCCCGACTCCGGAATGGGCGGTATCCCACCGCTGCCACCATATGTAACGACCCGAGGTATAGAGGTCTTCACACAGCGGATGTACACTCCAGACTGACCCTGGCAGCATGGCCAGGGATAGTTTATTGACCTTTATCAAGACCAGATGCGGCACAGATATTATAATCTCGGTTTCTATTCCCAACTTTGCCCCCCCCCTAAAAAAGCAGTCTTTCTCGATTCCGAAATGGGCGGTATCCCACCGCTGCCATCATATGTTTCGAGCCGAGATATAGAGGTCTTCACACAGCGGATGTACACTCCAGACTGACCTTGGTAGCATGGCCAGGGCTACTTCATTGACCTTGCTCAAGACCAGATGCGGCACAAATATTATCGCCTCGACAGTGTTTGTGATTGAGCCCTTCTCTTAGTAATATCCAAGTACATGTAGATATTATAGGGTGGAAGATTATGTTTCCTGGAATGATCATTTTCACAAAACAAAACAAGCTTTATTGCAAATTGTATGTAATAGTAAACAGTAAAAATGTAGCATTGTATATCATATTCTTGTATCAAACGTTTAATATATTTCTTGTTGTTGGATTTGATTTCTTTTCTGTATGCAGTTGAAATCCCCAATTACATGGAGAAATGTTGATTATATTGGCTACCTCTGAACATCCTGGATTAGCTGGAATATTTATAAGATTTTTGCCTATTTTTCTAGTTTTCACACAGTTTTGTGTTTATTGCAGATTTAGTGCGTTGCTGTGGGAGATAGCAACCCGAAGAATGCTATATCGACGAAGAATACATCATTCCCATTGACAAATCGTACATTGAGGGGGTATTAACTTCACAATCAAATTTATGTCCGTCTCCAGTACCAATATAAATTGAAAACAGATGAAAATCTGAGACCTCATACATTAAATATGTGGAGTTTTTGTGAATGTTTTTTATATGCCTCATTGATTATGGAAGTAATCTATTCAGATTTATGGTTTTCTAAACTTAAATTACAATATTTTGTTTGTGAAATTCCTATCCTTTGGCAATGTTTCATTTCAATGTCCTCACGTCACTAATAATGCAAATTACTTCTATGTTAACATAATATATGCATTGTGGTGCTAACCTTCAGGTATCTTACACATGTCTCAAGGTATAAGATTCCCATTATTCACTATTAAGGAATCACATTAATTTTGCAAATTGGATTATTATTTGCATGTTGGTATCTGTTAATGTTCTAACTAATGGATTAGGTTCCGGGTCAGTGTTTAATCTGACCCAAGTCTAAGCAAGGGCGCAGTAAATCGACGGTCTAAACCCTCTGATCTTGTTTTGTACGTTTTAGCCGCGATATCCCCGATGTCGTACTAGCTCTAGATCTAAACATATCTTTGTATTTTCTGAAAAGCCAGTTAGTTGTAGCCTTTATGGTTTTAACTTTATCTTTAACGACTGACGAAATAGAAATATTTATCATTGATTATGCAAATAAGCTCCTAATTTGCATAATATATACCATTCCCGACCCAATGGCACATACATATCTCAGAGTGATTAAAATATTAGAGCCATGGGTACAACGCACACACACACACACACACACTCACTCAACACGGATGCACTCACACAGACACACAGACACACACACAACAGATACACAGCTGCAGACAGACAGACAGACACACACACACACACACACACACATACACACATACATATACACAAACACACGTACATATACGCACACAGACACACACTCAGACACACACACACACACACAGACACAAAGACACACACACACACACACACACACACACACAGAGACACACACACAAATGTATCAATTCTACTGCCTTGCTGTCCAAACTTTTTGTATAAGCAGATTTGGCAAACAGATGAAAACACAACAGGAATGATTCAAAGAACATTGATATTCATCCACATCCCTGTGTTGCAAATCGTGAAAAAAAAACACCTTTCATCTCTTTTAGTTCTTCAATATTCACAAACACAAGTTATCCGGTATATGCAGGAAAATAAGTCTACGATATGCCGCAGGAGAATTTGTTTACGTAACCGTTAAAACGCTCTCCACAACAAAATACACGACAAAATATTTTGCTGTTCTTTTATGATAACTAATAACAATATTATATAGTACAACATGAATAAGCTCTTAGTATCAAGCTAGTAGTAAAATAGCAAATTTAGAAAAATAGTAAATTTAAAAATTCACAATACGTGGTAGTAACTTAAAGTATAACTGGGATATTTAAGCCATGGGTACGTGTTATTAATAATAATCAAATCAATCAAATCAAATCAAATCAAATTTTATTCAGTAAGGCTCTCGCGGGCGAATACCCGAATTTCGTCCTTATTACATAGTATATAGAGCATTAAAAACAATGATTTGTGACACTCTTCATTGTGCACATGAAAGAACATAGGCGAACACAACATATAAAGACATATTCGAAGACAATTACGCAATTAAAATCTATGCATAATATGCAGTTATCACGAAGAATTTAGCTAGGTACAATATATATATATATATATATATATATATATATATATATATATATATA